GTTTGATAGTGTTGGATGTAACTTAGATGAAAGATAAGAACATCCTTGAACCATTCAGTGCCACAACCTAAGGGGTTCTAATTTTGAAACACCTTCGCGAAAAGGCGTGAATTAATTAACTTCGATGAATTGATTTAAAAAGGTAATTACGTGAAATGTGAAATTTTCAAACTACCGGATATTCGTTTGAAACTTTATACACTATACTACTATGTTCTGTTTGCTATTATACTATAACCGAGGTAATGAGATAATTACTAGAAGTCTAAAATTTTAAGAAAAGGCAAGAAATTATTGTAGAAGAAAGTCGTCGAAGCCAAAAATTCGAATGTGTTCGCGTGGTCGATTTTAACAAAAGCACCGCCAACTGTGAAAACAGGTTGAAGGCGGTATTCCAGGTATAGTTTGCGGAGATTTCTGAACAACTTCCGCGGAAAGGTCAATATTTTCTTTGGAGGTTGCGCCTATCTCGAGCCACTGTGCCCCCCACCCACCGTTCGTGTTTTATCTCGGCCTCCTTCGAACGAACTCGTACGAACGGCGTGAAAAAGATAATGAAAAGAAAAAAAAAAATCTCGCGCAATGCGTTTGTGTAAAGAAGTGTAATGTGAGAAAATACGAGAGATAACGGGTCAAACGGTTGACTTTAAGCGTGAAAGTAAATGTATATGTACATACAATATTTGATTCAAGTTTCACTTACATATATTTACACGGAGAACGCCGCTCGAATATCATTCATTGATTCATCATTCATTATAAATTGCTTTATAATCTATTCATAGTTGTCAGTAATATTTCAATGCATGATATGTACATCTACACGTACCTCTGTTATAAATCTTAATGTATGTATTATAAATAAAAACGCGTTATATTGGATAGTTATAAAAAAAATTGATTTTCGAATAAATACGAACGTATTGAATTATTTTCTATAATTTATATAATTCGAATCCACTCTCATACTGAATATACATAAGCTAAACGTATTTTCAAAAAAATAGATACATGACACATTTGTCAAAGTATCGAATGAGCTATTACCCGAATTATCAGACATATGTACTCGTCATTCTATTTGATTAGAGTTTACTGAAATATTACGAGTCTTTACAAAAGCTTATCAAAGTCAAATTTGTTGAGTCAACGATTCTTGATAAAAAAGGTAGCTTATCACAATATCTACACACGTAATATTATTTAAATTTGCTCTTCAAGATAAACTTTGAAGCTATATATATATAATACAATCTAAAACTTGTAATTTCTATAAAAAAAAAAACTATCCTCGCAAATATTTTGAAACGCAAAACGATCAAAATTCATTTACAGATTTCTTCAAAGTATAGGAAAAGGTGACGAGACGAAACTTAAAACGACGTTATCGATTTTTTAACCTTTCCTCGTCGTTCTTAAAATTCGACAAAATTCGCAATGAATTAACTGATTTTCACTTGATGCAACGGTGGACGCAAACGAGGATCGAGCGACGATGGAACAGGCTTCAATGAAAGTGACAAACCACGAAATTGCAAGGAAATTCTTTCGAGTAGGATCGATGGAGCGACCTTGAACCGGTCACGGTAATCCCGGTCATTGAATATAATAAGACGGTTCGCCCTACACCTGGCAGGGAACCGCCAGATTATTTCTCGATGTTATCGCCTAGTCGGATAAGTGGAAGAGGTGGGATCTAGCAGTGGGGAGACTCGATCGGCACCAAAGTGGTCTCGAGTCAATCGGCTCGAGATTTGAATCTCCACTTCGGCGGAAAAGAAAGGGCATCAGACAGAAAGTGGATTCTCCGAGGAATCGAATTCACTTCCATCCTCACGGAGGATCCGAACGGTTTTCGAGAACTCGAAGGTTGTCAGCTAACCGGCCGTTAGACTTGCGGCCCTGGACGAGAAAATACGATCGTCTGCGATCTGATACTGACCGTGAATCTATTAAACACAGACGAGCTATATGAATAAACCTTGCGTCTCTCTGGATTTCGTGTCCCATACTCTGAAATACCGAGCGACAGTAAAAAAATCACTTATTTTTTTGCGCACTCTATGCAACGAGAAGCGTAGGTGAGTTAGAGGAACTCCATCAAGCCAGGAATTACATCAAATAAAACGATCGAAGTTGAATATCAGAAGGACCACTGAAAAAAAACCGTGATACAGTAACCAGGAGGGTTACTAAAAAACGAGCATACTCAACAATACAATAACCAGAAGGACTATTGTACAATATTACGAACCCGAGCAACAAACCGTATCTTATTTCGTAACACTAATTCACTAGCACAAATTGTGAACTAAAAAATTTTCAAAATCAAACGCGAAAAGTGCTTCGTTATATTTAAAATTCCCGAAAGTAAGTACGCAACGCCATTAATCTATGCACTCATATTTAGAAATACGTACTAATTGCGCCGCATCCAGTCCAACCATGCTGAAGGTTGCTGATGAATGACCACCTTTGTCCTGTTATTCCATCTTTCTTCCATCCATTTGAAAGTTGATAAATCTGAAACAAACTCATTTATTGGATTAGTAGTTTAAAAAACTTAACACAAAAATTCCACACCACTAAAACAGTCGCGAACATTTGAAAAAAAAAGAAAACAAGTCAATAGCCAGAAGGACTACTGAAAAGAAAATCGTGACACAGTAGCCAGAAAGGCTAGAAAAACAAGTACTTCCTACTCAATGCAATAACCAGAAGGGCTATTGTATAATTATCTACATTACGAACCAGAGCAACAAACTGTATTTTGTTTCGCAACACGAATTCACTAGCACTAATTCTGAAATAGAAAATTTTCAAAATCAAACGCGAAAAGTGCTTCGTCAAGTTTAAAACTCCCGAAAGTAAGTACGCTATTAATCTATGCACTCAAGTTTAAAAATGCGCAACACTAACTGCGACACGTCCAATGCAACCATTGCTGGAAGTTGCTGATGATAGTAACAGCTCTTGTAGCTGGATCAGGTGCATCCAGGAGCAGGAACAGCCTTCCACGAATCCAAGTGGAAGAATTTGGGCATTTTATAAACGCAACGCTACATCAAAAAACGGGATCATTCATTATCGCAACACTAAGAGTAAACGTAAAACTGGAAATCGCGATAAAATAACGTCGCAATACTAACTCTAAAGCTAAATTCAATAAAAATTATTATGAACAATACAAACTGTACGAACAAAAAGCTACTTCAAATACTCTAACACTCTAAAATTAATTAAAAACAATGACTCTATAATTTAATTTAAAACAATAAAAAGCAA